CGCAGAAATGTGATCCCCTTTACAATCAACACAATCTTCAATCTTCTTGATGATCCAATGAGATGGATAAGATATATTGAGATATGAGATACCTTTGGGACCTGAAAGATCCAGAGGTTAAGATAATAAGGATCTCCTTGAGCAACTTGTCAATACAATCAAATTCCAAAGCTTGAGGAAGACTTGATAACCAAAGTACTTTGATCCCAACACAATGCATGAATGCAATACAATATGATGTTTATGATGAAACATAAGCCTAAATCAAGAGGGTAAATTTTGGGGTGAAACACAGGGTAGTCTCTCAGTTAATTCAAGGGCACGTTCAATCGCAAGATTTCACTTCGTGCACAACGAATGACATCAAAATCATCCCTCTGGAATCAAAAGACGACGATGATCCCGTATCAAATAGGCGGTCATTATCTCTCAAAAGAAAATCCCACTAAGTCAAAACCTACGAAGGAGACTTAAGAAAAAATTGGGGCATCCCGCTGACTGTAATCTCAAGACAAGAACAGTCAGGCAGATATTAGGGATAATAAATCAAAAAGAGGTCACTAAAAATCCTCGAAAACATGACAAATGTTGCAAAAATGACTGCTTTCTAACAAACATAACTTGTCCGAACCATCACCAAAACGTCATTCCAAATTCAATTGGATTCCAAATGCGCAATTAACTGAGTTTATGACTGAAGAATATCGTGAAGAAAGGGCGGATACAAATACACTTTGAGCCTTATCCTTTGATTCTTAAACCGTGAACCAGACCAGGCTACAACCTTTCAAAAGTCCTAATTGAAGCATGGGTTAGTTCGAGAGCATAATGTTACAAAAGGTGTCCTGACTCCTGTAAGGCTTACTGCAAATTCTGAGTTGAATTCATATTTTTACAAATATCTCTTTACTTTCTAAAATGCATTTTCAAAACTTTAGGACAAGCATAAACTTTGCATTTATTTGAATATCGCTATTTGCATATGGCTAATTGTTTGACAGCGGAGAAATTCACACAATGAATATCCAATGAACGGAAATTCTCAAAGAACAAAATTACTTCAATTGTAAGACACTTCCAATGACTAACTCTCCCATAAGCAAGGGGGCATGACATGTCACCGTCCAACTCGTCTGGGGGAAGTGAAGTCAAGATTCCAAGAAATCTCCCAAGAAATGCTGAATAACTAGGGGCAGGTCTGTATCTGAATCACTTGGGGAATTGAACGTGAACTCCAGCAAAGGGTTACGTACGGTCAAGAAAATATTTTTTGGAAGTACTACAACACTTACTACTTGGGGAAGTGACAAATCTCTACAAATTCCTTTTCATAAAGTGATCCCTAGTCAAGTCTCCATAGAGTCATCTCTATAAGATTATCCCCACAGAATAATATTCACGAATAAGGGTACAAACCCTCAAGGCCAAATTCATGGATATCCCCGTAAAGTTGGATCCAGGCAATCCCCATCCAAAGTTTCAATCTTTGAAAACTTCTCCCCAACTGAGTTGATCACAAGAATCCTCGAGGAGTTCTGCTTAAGGAAAACACCTCTCCAGCAGATTGGCAACATGGTTTATTTCCCCAACAAACTACAGATTCCCCAGCTTGAGTTTGTCTTTTCGACTACTACAAATCAAGGGACCACAATCCCTCTTCCCCAGTAGACTTTCCTACCATCCCCAGTGAGTTACTGCAAAGCCTGAGAGACAGCCAGATAACAATTAACTTCTTTGTCCCTAACAAGTTGTTAATTTCCTTTCTCTCCAATCAAGAGATAACTCCTCAGTAGAGCAACAGACAACTAAAACTCCTAAACTCTTTTCCCCAAGCAGGAACCAACACTCTCCACAAATTTTTCTCCTCAAACAACAAAACGGGAACTCCCAGCGGAAACATTCTTTGAAGATACACATATTATTCATCTCCAATAGAAGTCTGTGATTTATCTTCATAAGGCTCCCCAGCATTTGCCAAGGAGTTTATTTTCCAAGACAAAGCAACATTTCACATCTCATGCATCATATTGCATACATGATAAATGCATACAGCATAATCTCATTTATTTTGAGAACATCATCAAGCCATGCATACATATGCATGCAACTAACCCTCTTCCTTGCAAGGAAAAGTCAATCAATAGATAGCTATCATCAAAAATTTTCAAAGAGGTTAGAGATTAATACCTGAAACCAGACTTACGACTATCTCTACAGCCAACAAAAAGCAAGTTCCAGATTAATACTTGAAACAAGACAGGAAAACTATTTGTGGACGACCGATTGTAGATTAATACTTGTAACAAGCCAGGAAAGCTATCTACATGAGCAGATTGAAGATTAATACTTGTAACAAGACAGGAAAACTATATATTTCTAAGGTCTGAGATTAATACCTGAAACCAGACATGATAACTATCTCAACGACCAACAAAAACAAGTTTCAGATTAATACCTGAAACAAGACAGAATAACTATTATGGACGATCGATTGTAGACTAATACCTGTAACAAGCCAGGAAAGCTATCTACATGAGCAGATTGAAGATTAATACCTGTAACAAGCCAGAAAAACTATCTTTCTTTCTAAGGTCAGACATTAATACTTGAAACCAAACAGGACAACTATCTCAACGACCAACAAAAATAAGTTCTAGATTAATACCTAAAACAAGACAGGACAACTATTTATGGACGACTGATTGTAGATTAATACCTGTAACAAGTCAGGAAAGCTATCTACATGAGCAGATTGAAGATTAATACTTGTAACAAACCAGGAAAACTATCTTTCTTTCTAAGGTCAGAGATTAATACCTGAAACCAGACAGGACAACTATCTCTACGGCCATTAAAAAGCAATTTCCAGATTAATACCTGAAACAAGACAGGACAACTATCTGTGAACAAATTAATTGTAGATCAATTCCCGAAACTGAACAGGGTGACTATCTACACAACAAACAGTTTATCCAAGACCTCTGCTGGTTCAGTTAAAACTCTCCAAAGATTTATTCTGATACTTTTTCGGTAGACGCTTTTTCTGGTTCAGTTAAATCGCTCCAAAGATTTATTCTGATTCTTTTCCAGTTAAAGATTATCTAAGACCTCTGCTGGTTCAGTTTAAATCGATCAATGGTTTATCTTGATTCCATTCCGGTAGACACTTTCTCTGGTTCAGTTTAAATCGCTCCAAAGATTTATTCTGATTCTTTTCCAATTAAAGATTATTCAAGACCTCTGCTGGTTCAGTTTAAATCGATCAGTGGTTTATCCTGATTCTGTTCCGGTAGCCACTTTCTGTGGTTCAGTTAAATCTCTCTAAAGATTTATTCTAATTCTTTTTCAGTTAAAGATTATTCAAGACCTCTGCTGGTTCAGTTTAAATTGATCATTGGTTTATCCTGATTCTATTCTGGTAGACACTGCCTTTGGTTCAGTTTAAATCGGCAAAAAATTTATTCTGATTCTTTTCCAGTTGAAGTCAAGCTTAGACTTAGTCTAATTTTTGTCAACAATCACTTTTGGGTGGCATCTATAAAGCCCATCTCCGACAACTCCCCAAATGGCATTTTTAAGCCTATTCCCTACACAATCAACCACCATATCATCGAGTGAAAATTTCTGAGCACTCTAGTGTTCAATCATCTTCCACCTTCAACTCACGAATGACGGACTCGTCAGTCTAACTCTTCAGGTTTAAGAAGATTGAACAGGGGCAGCTGTTGTACCCCAAAAATTGTCCTCTCTTTTCTCAAGGCATTTCCTCACAAGGATTTTCAAAAGTTCAAATTTGCACAAGTATAATTGGGTTTTCAAACATCAAATAAAAAAAGAGCATGCCTGCTTCGATTTAATATCCTTCGATTATACTTTTGACCTCTTTCGATGCAAGCTTGGCTTACATCTTTCGATTGAGCAATTACCCCTTTCCTGCACGCTTCGATTCACAAAGCAAGGGGGGCTCCCACCATGCTAGCGTACACAAGGCAAAAGCTTCCCTATGGCTAGCATTCATATTAGCACCCACAGGACATTGGCTATCTTCATGCTGGCTTTGACTGGGCAAAGTTTCCCTTTGAAACAACTGGCTTTCAATTCATAAGGGCAACGCCTATCTTTATACAAGTCTTGTTTGGACATTTAGGCTTCCTACATACATTCTTCGGTTGCACCCTTTGCATCCTATATGATTGTGTTGGTGCCCATGACAATAACCTCCTGCATGCAAACTTCGATTGCACTATTGGCCTTACATGTTTGTTTGGTTCACAATGCAATGGTTGCCTGCATGTCTGTTTCAATTGGACATTTGATACCTGCATACCTTTTCAATTGGACAAGTTTCGATTGAACAAATAACTCTCTCCATGTTTGCTTATTTTTATTGATTCAATCCTTACATTTTGAGACTGAGTATTATTTTGCCTGGTTACGCGTGACTGTTTTGCAATGAAGTGCTACCATTAGGCATTCCAATACCTAATTGTACCAACCAAGTAATTAGAGTAGGAAATTGGAAATAATACCAGAAACTTGCAAGTTCTGATAATAGACCATTGGACCCACTCCGGGATGGATAAAGTAGGGGAGCAGATTGTCTCCGGTCCTTTTTTTTTCCAGTGAAATCTCAACTTTTCATTTTTCTTTCTTAAATATTATAATAATATATTAAAATGATTCAAGCGTGAGATGCTACACTTTTTCCATTCCATTATGTGAATTATTCATGGGAGACAATCCTCTTCCGATAAATTAGTATCCCAAAACTGGGTTTAGCACGAGCCCCAAAAATAAAACGTGCTACGTAGACTAAAAACAATGTACCAAAAATATGATATATCTAAAACAGCAAACCATAGTACATTTGCTTGTTTATGATTACAAAATCTGCAAAATAAAAAGATATAAAAAAATAAATGAATAAAATCCTACATAATTGATTATTTGTACAACAACATTAATCCTAACATAGTAGCAGCAGTGGTAGAGACCTTCCTTCACACGATTGTTGAGCAAGAAGCTGTAGAAGGATCATACAAAGCAGGAAGAAGATACTTCCTTCCATTATCACCGTGTGCGTTGTAGCTAGCACCAGTTGTCGAATCAACAAGTAAGTCACCAGCATAACCAGGGTAAGCACCTTTACCATAAACACCTGGACAAGCTGAAGCAGCTTCAAGAGGAGCCTCGGAAGGGCCCTGAAAGTACCCGTTTCCAAAAGGGTTTGTCGCAGTTCCAGCCAAAAGACTTGCCAAATTGATCACCATTCCGTCGAGGCCTACATCGTTGTTTGGAGAAACCAACGGTGGGTTTTGAGGTCCGTAGATTGGTTGGTGAAATGGCCACGCGCATTGACCTGGACATTGAGTTTCGGAATTACCAACCCAAATGTAAGCGAATTTGTAACTCTTACCCTTAACAGGTACCGTAGAAGAATAAGAAGAACCGTGAGTCCCACATCGGTCCATACAGAAACGTTCAACAGCCACATCAGCGGATGTTAGAACAACGTTAATAGAGTCTTTGTTGTCTCCTTTAGAAGCCAATTCGATAAGGTTTTTGCTAGTGAGTGATTTTCCAAGTGAGTAATTCTCGTCGAGAATTTGCTTACTTAGAGAAAGAGAAAGCTGAGAAGCTTTTTTCTTAGAGGTGAGATGGTAGTATTTTTCAGTGGTTTTCCACCAACCGGAAACGGAAGGTTGGTTGGGTTGTGAAGATGGAGGAGAAGAGAGTGAGGTGAAGAAATCGGTGATAATAGCTTTTTGAGATGGTTTGAAGTGACCATACCAAATGAGATTGAGAGAGATTTTACCATAGAGTAAAGGACCATTGTGGTAGTGAAGAAGCTGAGACTGATCCTGAACAAGCTCATTCAGATTCCTAGCAGCTATAGAAAGGTGAGAAACAGAGATGAGAAGAAAGATTTTCAGAAAACATTGAGAAACCATATTGAAAATAGTAAATAGAAAATAAAGTAACGTAAGATTTTGTGTTGTGGCTGAGAGATTGTGTGGAAAGAGATGTACTATATAGTGGTAGAAATGGGAAGTGAAATCAATGGATTAATTGACTAGAGTGTTCCATTAAGGTGCCAGCCAGCTCGATAACGCGTTGTTGTTCTAACTTTATTCTTGGGACTACAATTCCATTCAACTGTTCGGCGCGCTTTCATGTTTCAACCGCCTTCGTTATTGGTTCTTAATCGTGTTACTAGAACAAGTTTTGACATATACGGGTTATTAATAAATGGAGTAGTACACAATCTTTTATATTTTTTAATTATCTAAATATCCATACAATCTAAAATTTTAAAATATTCAAATATTTCATCACATTTTTTATAAATTAAACTCTAATTTCTTCACCATTCTTTACATTTTTTCACTTTCTCTTTTCATTTTCTCTCTAATTTTTTCATCATAACATCTCCCGTGATTTTTAAAAATGAAGGGTATGTTTTTTCTCGACCATGAAACCTCCAATTAAAATGAAATATTGGCACATCCATTTCAAGAAGCATCTGAAGAGAGAGTTGTTGCAATGGTTAGACAGGAGCATCCAAGATGGCGAACAAATTATAAGTATTCAGAGAAGAAGAACGATCACCTCACTTGCAACTGGAAAACCTCATAGTTGGTTGGAGTAAGTCAAAACATATACAGACGTAATGGTGATGATGCACGGATCTGATGAAATTGTTTTAACGGTTGTAATTTCTTAGATATTTTATCATGTTATTGATGTTATTTTTTATCTGGCGTATGTGTTGTTGTTTTAGTCGTGATGTCATTTTATTTCTTATTTGCGTTTGGTATGTTGTAACAAATATTTTTAATGAAAAAAAAAGTTTCATTTAGATCTTTAAAAAGTTCAGATAGTGTGCATACAAATTTTATATTGTCGAGCTACTAGTACGAGTGGGATAATTTTTTCAGTTGTGTCTGACCTGAAGGCATAAACCACACTTTCTTTCTAACTTGTCAAGTACGTCAAATTCAGTTGTGTTACGCTTGCTTTTGGGACGACTCTTTTATTCCTTCGCATTTGATTGTTGTGCCAAACTATTTCCCATTCGTAAGCAGGCCGATGATCCTCTTTTTCTACCATTGGTAAACCATTATTGTATACGTTGAGCAAGGTCTCGACCTTGTAACCGGGAGATAGAAGTAGTAATGTATCTTGATGAGCATACGTACATGAAGCAATGACATGAGAGCAAGGCGTACGAAAATCTTTAAATTTTCCGCAGTCGCACTAACGATATGGTAGTAGAATCCTATACTCCCTACTAGGCCTCCATCATAGCTTCCATGCTTATGCCCTGCCACCTACTATGCACCATATTCTACACACAAGATTCCACATAGCCTGCACACTAGCTGGACACTAGACTATCTCACTCCATGTTGAATGGTGCATCCATTTTCTTTTGCATGTAGGACTCATCTCACATGGTTTGTGGGTGACACGTGTCTGGCATGCATACAAATCCTGAACCACCTCATTAAAACAACCCCCTTCCATTTTCCTATAAATACCAATCACACTTGATTTTTTTTGCATCACCACTAATCCTCACACTCTCTGATACAAACTCTTACACTCTCTGATACAATTTCTAAAACACTTTCAGTTATGGCTCTCCTAACCATGGGCGGTACTCATAGAGGAACAAGAGGAAACATTGTCGAATTTGTAAGTTTTAATTTATCTATGTATATTTTGCATTGTATATTTTTTTAATATATTCATTATATGTGCATTTCAATTCAGTCATACACAATTCATTTATATATGTATTTTGAATGTAGAATACATCAAGATTTTGATGTCGTTCACACTACTATGTTGCTCCTGACCCATTGATTATCCCATATCTAGAACGTTTCGATTTTGGACATTTTATTAATATTTCTAATTGCACGATTGATACGAGGTTTATACTCGCATTGTTGGAAAGTTGGAGACCCAAAACACACACATTTTATCTCCTAATTGGTGAATATACTGTCACACTAGATGACATGTACATGTTATTGGGTCTCCCTATTGAAGATAAGAAGGTGAGTGGGTCGGTTCAACAACCCAATGCTCTATGCAAGCAAATGTTGATCAATGATATGGTAGATGGGACAGGTGTGAGGGGCCAGAGTATTTTACTAACGAATCTTAAAGAACACTATCGCTCTCTTCAGTTGAATAAAAATTCGTCTGAGGAAGCTAAAATAGTTAAAGCCAAAAATTATATTATGATACTATTTGGAAGCTTGTTATTCCCCGAAAGTACAAGTAATAGTGTCCATTTTATGTATCTAAGTTTACTTAGGAACTTTGATAAAATAAAAAAGTATAGTTGAGGTTCCGCCGTTTTAGCTTATCTATACAGTTCATTATGTAAAAAGACAAAAAAAACCATGTACTTTATATGGATGCGCTTTCTTACTCCAAGCATGAGTTTGTGGAGAATGGAGTCCCTTAACCCCGTCAACGACATGTTGTTCATGTTCTCCTACACAACCAAGTAAGTCTATAATACTATTTACTTTTTATCAATTTACGATAAATAACTGTACATAATTTATTATTTCTCTCTTTGCGGTAGGTTTTGTGTAAGGGACATGGATTACAACAAAAATCTGAGGCGAAATATCGTTATATATATCGTAATCTTTTAGATCACATCGGCCCAGATGATGTACATACTCCCTCCAAACTTTTATTCTTTTAATTAGTTTATTTTTGAAGTTATAATTATTATAATATAATTTTATCTATAGTTTCTTTGGAGACCATATTTGGGTCTAGAACATCAACCCGACCCTAAGGATGCAACAGTTTGGACTGCAAAAACTGCAATCATACGGTACAATATTATGGAGATGTACCACGCCGACCGTATCAAAATGCAGTTCAGTATGCATCAAGATATACCGTCTCCCCTGGCTTGTTTGAAACCTTGGCAACTCCTTAGGGTTAACACCCAGTAGGGTGTTAACAATTGGAAAGAATTCGCACGCGAATGGTGTAAGATATGGAAGAGGAGTGATCGACATGTTTTAGATATTCATGTTTACCCCATGAACCATCCTATGCGACACACATATCATATATTAATTGGTACAGATCCGTTACTAACCTTGAAATGTTTGTGGTTAACCCGAGTTATTTAATCGACCCACACACACAATGTGCATTATCCTTAAATCCCCAATAGAACGACTAACAATCATACACCGCCCAACAACCCCAACAAGAAATCCAACACACATAAACTTCCCACCAAACATAACGACGATACAGATCCACCAGCATCCAACCCCAAACCCAAGACCAATACAAATACACACACATTCCCTACACACAATTACAGTACCAAGAACACCGACCATACATCTGACATCTCGATGTGGGCCCCCCATCATCTCACCTTAGGCTAGACATTGGCCTACCTGAAGAATATTCCCCAACCAACCCAACTTACCATCAGCCAAAACATCACCATAGCACCCAACAATCACAATACCAAATTCCACAAGATTCATTTCTTTTTTATCCTCCCTATTTAGACGACCAGTGTTGTCGACCACCCATGGAACTCCACCCCCACCAATACGACCAAACTTTGAGGGCATGGGTAACCGAATGTTTGAAAATGGATCTTCCAGATATGCTGACAAATTTCATGGATCCTGAATGCATTGACTTTGCAGGGCCCTCGATCCAACCCAAACAGGAAAATCGTTGAAACGCACCACGAGTTAGGCGAGGACGCATATGCGGAACCACAGATCATTATCGAGTCCTGGGAAACAACTAAATAATATATAACTTTTATTCTCATTATGTAATCATTTAATTATTATTGAAAATCGAAGTTTCATTTGCGATAAATCATCTTTTATTTTTTTAACAAAAATAATTCAAAAAAAAATTGGACATTGCACCTAGGCTCCATATGAGATGGCTTAGAGCAAATTATATGTACCTAGGTGTCATCTCATTTGGCGCCACCTTTAAAAAATTGAATGTATGCGTCATTTGAGATGGCTAAACCATTTTATCCAACTTTGAAATATGGTTATTTGCCTAATTTTCTACGAAATGTGGTTATTTGTGATTTTTTTCAATATCTTGTTATTTAAAAAAAAAATCACAATTTATACTAAATCGATATCCAACTTAATTTCATGGGTACCAAAGAATTTACCTTATAAAAATACATAAAAAAAATAAATTACTAAAAAACACATGAAAATATATCAAATTTATATTTTTTAACGGTGGTTATTCTCATGCTAAAATAATTTCCTGTTACACATATGCAATTTTCTACTATTTTCATTCCTTAAAAAATATTTAAATATGTTTATCATATTTTTATTGGAAAAAAATATGAACCACACCTATATAATTATATCTTTGTTGTTTCATGGTCACAATCCTGTTGTAACCACCATTTTTAGTCATTTTGATCATTGGGGACAATAAAACGACGACCTAAAAAGTACGGTCTCCAATGTTGTATGACGAGCACATCCGCCGTCAACTCATTCTCATATGTGGATTCACCACTATTGTGGACCACATCGTCTAACCATGATTTATTTTTTAACTAGTGAGAAATCCGTGCTATCGCACGGGTTACGTATGGTTTTCATATCGCATGATCTAATAATGATTTGCAAAGTTCTATTTTGTGTAAAAATTAAACTAATAAAAAACAATCAAAATGTAATCAATTTTGAACAAAATAGTATATTAAACAACAAAATTTACATGGCTTGCACTAATAATACATAAATTTTTCGGTATTATAAGTCCAAATGTAAACTTCTCAATATTATATATTCCATAGTTGAACTTGTCAATGAATGAACCAACCAACAACAACGACTTGCATCATACATCTGCATGGGAAATATATATCAAATTAGATATTAAATATTAT